AAATCGCCCACCGTCTCTCCGTCCTTCATGCGAATTGCCTCGAAGTGAGTCCTCAAGGTCTGCACTTTCGCCTCCTTGACTCGCTCCACGCCGACGTGCATCGTCTTCAGTGTCTCCCATGCTAGCTTGGCGGAATCCTTCTCTGCCACTATGAGAAGAACATCCTCCGGTAGCGCTTGATAGATGGCAGCGAGAGTCATTCTATCCTTATGCTCTTCGACCTCGTTTTGCTCTACGGCGTCCCACACTCCTTGAGCTTGTAGGTTCACACGCATTTTCAACGCCCACACCGAGTAGTTACTCTTTGTGAGTAACGGATAAGAAAGCGTTACGTTCCCTTCTCTTCGTTGTTGCCATATCTCCTATGATAGTTTTGCTCGGTGACGACATGTCCTTCGGCTTAGGCTCTGATACCAAATGTTGGTTCCAATTTAATGGATCGCTAAATGATAAATCGAAAAAAAAAATGAGATTAGACTTTTGGGAATTCTCTTTTTATTATTTTGAAGGAGTGAAAAGATACAAATCTAGAGTGTGTTTTACAATGCAACACAACACTCAATTTATATTAACTAAGATATACCGAAACAAAAAAGGAAACATACACAGTAAAGATAAGAGAATTAAGTGTCATCAATTTGCGCCTATTTGAATTGATTACACATATTTGAATTTTGAATTTGAATTTTAAGATTCAAATTCAAAATTAATGCTATTGTCATGTCTCCTATATTTAATTCAAAATTAATGCTATTATCATATCTCCTATATTTATTCCACTAATCAACTCATGCCTATTATGAACCCGCTAATTGTGTAATCAATTCAAATTACCAATTCAAGATTAGTCTCACATTATCTTTGATTCTTTCGTTAAGCAAACGAGCAAGACATGAATAATTTTTTGAGCTTGATTAATAGATCAGTCAAACACTGACAAACTTTTGTATGATTGTGTTTGGCTCATTTTGGCATGAATTAGTTAAATAATTATTTTTATAAAATTTTATATTAATTTTTTATGTTGTATTTAAAAAAAATATTAAATTTTAATATTTTTAAAGTCATTCGAGCGAATTTTGAGCCAAACATAAGCCAAAACAAACAAACAACAAATTCGCATCTAGCAGAACATGAGCATGCTATCCACGAGCCATTTCAAATACGAGCTTATTTCAAACTAAAAAGTTTTGAACACACTGAACCTGAACAAATATTGAGCACACTGAAGCACTTTTCCCCCAAAAAAAAAATGCATACTCAGCATCTTCATTTTCAGCAGAATACATTGATTTATTCTATTACTGAACTTGCTGCTTATGGTAAGCTGCAGTAAGGTTCTCATTCAGCTGCTCCGACATACAGCCTCCGAAGATTGAAAAATAAGATTTTGAAGCTGGAGCTAAATGGTTGTGATGAAGCTGATGGCGATCCTGGGTGTAAATTTCTTCTGTGCCTTTATGTAAATAATATATAGTTTTTGTTCTTTAGTTTCGTCTTAACAAATTTCCCTTTCAGATATCTGTGATTATTATGGGCAGAAGTTGTATTGCCAGAGATGTCATCATATTGTACATATGAATGTAACACCACTGTCCAGTTTTCAGGTGTAATTAACAAAAGTTGTGAGGATACTGGAGCAGGTTTTACATTCACATCACACAATTCTTATTTATTTACATCTCTAATACCTAAATTTTTATATTTATTTGCACGTATAACACTCGAATCCTTAACATCATGTCATAAATATCACTATTAATAACTTCTAAAATATATGTTCTTTATGCATATTTGGGTTCATAGCACTAAAGTGTTATAAATTTTGTGTGTTCTTATATCTTATACCTCACACCTTCCGCTATCGCGTTGCCGGGCAGAAAATTTTTATAACTTTTTTGAAAATTTTTCTCAAATATTTATTGTCTAGATAATTTTCGAATGAACGGATGAAATTGTTGGAAAATTGAGGGTAACTAATATGTCATCAAATTGTCGTTGGCACGAATTTTGAATTGATAAACACAAATCTAGGAGCATTTCTTAGCAGGAAGCATTCAAATTGAAATTAAAAATCATTCAGAATTTTTATTTCAATAAAATGACTCGATGAGATGAATCCAATGGCACCAAAATTAGGCGAGGAAAGAGTATTGTTGTAGCCATTTCAAGAAGTCTAAAACCTCCTGATGAGGTGTACTCAAATGAATTGATACTAACTCCATCATTCAAATCAACTATGGCTTTTTTGCCTTGATTCACCCTAGAAATAAGACTTTACAAGTGGCCTATAACCTTAGTCATGCTATCTTTTTCCTCAAATGCTAGAAGTGGCTTGACTTTATTTTCATTGGTAAGATCCATTATATTGTCATGAGGGTTGATGTGGTGAGTTGCCAGGTGAACTTTCTGATGACCTACTATTACAAGTGGTTAGTTTGTTAGTTTGTCGATTTGCTAAGAAGTTGAATGCATTTATGTCACTAGAGACCGACATAAGAGAGTTGAAGAAATTTTTGCTAAAGGAACCTGATGATCTTTGAAAGATGACTTATTCTAAAAAGTGACTTCCATGAAATAGCAATTGTCTATGCACGGATGTCCATTAGAAGCTTTAGGACTCCCAAGATAAAGGGAAGGGCTAACCTAGTTGTTGTTGTGCAAATAGAAGCTAATCTAGGGGACAAACGATCACAATGTGTGGTCACATCAAACGACGAATTAGTAACAAAGTAAATGTTCTTATGGAGCTTTGAAAAACAATTTCTCATGGAGGTGGGTGTTTTTTTTTTGATGAGATAAAGTACTAAAATTTGTTGTTGGTGTTTGCTTTTAAGTCTAACGATGTGACGTGGCGGTTTTGATGAAATGTTAAAATATTAAAATACCAAGACAAGTCTAGATTAGGCTAGTTTGGATTGATTTGAAATATCTCTTTGGAAAAGTGGCTTTAGATTGGATAAATGGCTAGAAATAATTAGTTGTGGTTAGTTAAGATGTGTACCTATAATCTGGAGTAGATGAGTAGTTTTGGATTGATATATGATGATGTTGAGGATAAGAGAACATGACTGGTCCTTAATATGGTCTAGTTTGGTCGAGAACTCCGAAGAGGGGTTTAGAATAATTTTGAGGCTTTGAATGTTGGTTTGATATTATGAAAAGCTTGGGATGTGGATGAAAGAGTGGTGTTTAGAGCAAGTTTTATGAATGATTAATAAATAACTTTAAAAAAAAATAAATGCCTAATCTTGTCGAAGAAATGCAACACTTGAAGTCACCAAGCAAGAAACAACAAGAGAGAAAATACCAGCACAAATATTTCATTCAACAACTGATCAAAATTCCTTATATATTAGCTTTATGTATAGGGATTGCAATGATAAAAAAATAAAAAAAAAGGAGGAAATTATAAAGAGTGGTTGGTGGTGGGTCATTAATAGAGAAAGACACTAACCACATTTCTAATTTATTACTATTTAATTATGAACATCCATAAAAGCCTCCAAATTTGAAATTCAAATATTCTAGAAACTGAAATTGAAATATAAATAATAAAATATAAATTCAAATATTTATTCTTGATGGGTTCGTGTAATGGGCTTTGAATGAGCTCTTAATTGGAAACGTTTTTTCTATCCGGAGTCCAGATGTCCGGAAAACGATCGCGATGCAACAATACAGTGGAGGTCTGATCCTCCGTTGCATCTCTACCATTTTCCGCACGTTCGGACTCCGGACAGAAATATTTGGCTTTAATTGGGCACTTTATTCCTTGAGTTCTTACTTGGGTTCTTGCAAGTGGATCTTTTACTTAATTTAGATAATGTGCTACATCAATTTCAATCCACACTTATTGTATCATAAGAGATGATGGATTTGTATAGTCCATTGTGATGTGAGGGCTCTACTAATAAGACTTACAAAGTCTCACAAAAGACAAATAAATAAAAATTGAAGCTGAAGAAAAAAGAGGGGACGAGTTACAGAGAAATCTGAGAATTTTAATGTGAGCACAAAATATAAAAAATCTTGAATATTAAAAATTACTCTTCTACCCTTTATTTACAAAGTTATAAGTGATATAAGAAAAGCTATATTTGATTAAATAATATAAGGAGAAATGCTTGATAGCATGCTATTAGTTTATGCTAATATTCTTAAAGCTAAAAGACATGGCTTTATATGGTCGAATGACCTTAGGTTTGGTTCAATATAAGAAATAGCCATAAGTCTATGGGTAGGGATCAATGTGAAAAGCTTGATAGCTTGTTGAGTCGGTTAGATTGGTAGGCTAAATTTGCTCAACTAATTAACTCAACCAAGGAGTGATGCTAGATAACTTGCGCGCAAATATTCAATCAATGATGCTCGACAACTCTCTTTAGAAGAGTGACTCGTCCCGCAACTGGGAGTTGGCTAAATTGGCCCGGTGTTCAAGTTGACTAACAAAAGCATTGTCGAAGTGAAGTTTGCAAGAAATGAAGTTCAAGAAAAGATATTTTATAAGGAACAAATATCCATGCAAGACGTCACCAAGAAACCATTAATGATAACACATGATAAGTTTTCATTAAATTTTCATCATATGGCTTGAATCTAGAGTCTTTGCATAAAGCTCGAGGGATTTTCCATGCAAGATATATTTACACTCATATTGAAAAGCAAACAGAACTTTGTTTTCAACAAACTTATAGTCAAACTAACTAGCTCAATGAGGCTGACCCAATGATAACAAATTTGGCGTGATTTGTGTCAAATCAAGTTTGAAACAGATTGTTAAACCACTTTTAAAAGCTTTGGGTGGCTAACTAGAAGGTCAAATAGATCTTAAATTTGACAAGCTTATAGTCAAATCGTGCATCTCGGCGAAACAATTCCAAGGAGCCCGAGATCACTCATCTTCGACATCATTAAGGTTCTTAAATGCCCATAAAATGTCATTGGATCAAATGAATCTCTCCGTGTCGCCTAATGGAATAGTCCAGATTCATTTTTTATTTGAAGGGAGGCCACTCCCATCCTCTATAAATAGAGCCCTGCCCCCTTCATGAAAGAGAAGACTGTAACGACCCTTTGGTTGTGATGATCATATTCGACTAGTAGCATGACCACCATTCTATGGATTAGCATAAACATAGTTTGTTTGGTCGCCATAGAAGGCATCGTTCGGATTGCCAAGAGCACTGAGGGTAGCAAATCTGTCCAGCTTCCCTTAGTTCCTTTGACTTTTTTTCCTTAATAGGTTTATGATGAGTTTGTTAGCTGCCTCAGCCCGCCTGTTTGTTCTAGGGTGATCAATCAAGGAGAATTTCAGATCAATCCCTTGTTTTGCGTAGAAGTTTTTTACTAGCTGGTTCGCAAATTGAGTTCTGTTGTCTGTAATGATGACGAGCAACAATCCATACATGTAGATCAAAATAGACCGTATGAAATTCCGAACCGCCACTACTTTCATCTGAGCGAGTGATCTTGCTTTGATTCATTTTGAAAAAATAATATTCAGCACTAAAAAGAATATTTTTTGGCTTTTTGACAAAGGAAAAAACCCGAGAATGTTAAGTCCCCACATGGCGAATGAAAGGATTGACTATTTGCTGCAGTTTCTGAGCCGACTCATGATGTAAAGACATATTTTTACATTGCTCGCACCTTCTCGAGAAATCCGCTGCATCCTCTAGGAGATTCGACCAAAGTACTCTTGTCGTTGTACACGATAAGCAATAGTCTTTTCTCCAGAGTAACTGCCACATTCTCCGGAATGTACCACCCAAAAGCACATCTCTGACTTCATCCTCTTTCAAGCACCTTAGGTATACCGAAGTAACGACCTCCTGAACAACTTTCTGTTGATTAACATATACATGGCAGCTTTAATTTTAAAACAACTCGAATCTTTGATAATTTATATTTTTCCAATCTCTAGGTAGAAGATGTATGGATCCATCCAACTCCTGGTCCCGTCGTTCGCAACCTCCATGACCTCCATTTCGTTGACTATTGGCCTAGTAAGTTTTTTGGGTATTCCTCCCAGTCTGATGCGTTTAGAGAGGATATTGCCGACTTGATTGTCCCCCCAATTGACACACTCGATGCGGAAGCTCTTGTATCTTTCAATTTCATTTTTTGTCATGGCAAAGTATCTGACCATCAGCTCGTCTCTGGCTTTAAGATTCATGCTAGTATTTCCGATGGTATACACAACAATGTTATGACAAAATGACAAAAAAAAGCAATTAGGAGAGAAATAAGGAAAATATTTAATAAAAATGTAAAATATATTTTAAAGCATTTTGACTATTTTAAAAATAAAATATTCAAATTTAATATTT